AATAATTTATAAATGTTCAAGGGTTCAGGATGGAGTAGGAAAAGGAGGAGCTGATATTAAGGGCTCAAGTAGAAAGCAAATGTTTTGAGAATGATGAGGGCAACAAATGGACAAATGTGCTTGACACAATGGATATATGTATGGATTGTGATAACTGAATGAGCCCCCCCAATAAAATGATTAAAAAATAAAGTGAAATAATTTATTTCATAAATTATTATGAAAATCTTTTATGGTGTGGGCGAAGAATATTGAAAGCGCCGTGGCCTGCCAAAAGAACAAACAAGTCTATCTTGGAAGAAGTCCAGCCAGAATGCTTCTTAGAAGGGAGGATGGCGAGGCTTTGCCTCATGTACTTTGGACATGTAATCAGGAGAGACCAGTCCCTGGAGAAGGACCTCATGGTTGGCAAAGTTAGAAGGGCAGCGAGAAAGAGGAATGCCCGGGAAGAGCTGGATTAAAACTGGCTGCAACCGTGGGGCTCAAACATAAGAGCAGCTGTGAGGTTGTGCAACACCAGGCAGTGTTTTATTCTGCGGTACCTAAGGTGGCTATGCGTCAGAACTGACTCACCAGTACCGAACAGCAATAACACCTTGATCTAAAATCCTATGATTGTGTGAATTACCATTGTATGAATTACCACCACCCATCTGTCAGTGTGTCATCTGCTCAGGCTTCTGTGTTGCCGTCATCCTGGAAGCAGCATCACTAGTATCTCAAATACAGGAGGCTCATGCATGGTGGACAGACTAAGACATTAGCAAGAAAAGTCTGATGGTCCACTTCCGATGTCAATGAAATCTCCATGCTTCACCACAGAATGTTGTGTGATGGGACGCTGGAAGATGAGCCCCCTAAGTTGGAAAAAGAAAAAAAACCAAACTCACTGCCATTGAGTTGATGCTGACTCAAAGTGACCCTGGAAGGACAGGGTAGAATAGCCCCATAAGTGTCTGAGACTGTAACTCTCTGAGGGAGTATAAAGCTACATCTTTCTCCTGTGGAGTGGCTGACAGTTTTGAACTGCTGACCTTGCAGCTCACAGCCCAATGCATAACCTCCAGGCCACCAGGTCTCTTAGGTTGAGAAGCATTCACAACACATAGTAGGTAAAACAATGAACTTCAAGATGGGGCAGAACTAAGCAAGGCTTTTTCTGTTGCACACAGCAGCTTCTTGAGTCAGCTGACTCTGTGACAACCAATGAATTAGTAACCATGAGTTACCATTGATTTACCAATACAGCTAGAACGGAAGAATATAGCTAGTTTTTCAAGTCATGGGTAGTTCTCTTTACTTATTTCCAGGGAAACTAGAAGCCAGAGAGATTTCATCTCAACCTCTCTCATTTTTCTTATCAAAAAGTGGCAGGTCTGGAATGGAACTCACTCCCTGGGCTCGGTTTTCAGGCACACAGACAGATCTATACAGGAAACATTAACAGCAGTGCTTTCGTTACTGTTCGCCTCAGAATAGTCATCAACCACATGAGATCAAAAGGGTAGCATTTACCGGAGCATAGAGATCAGAGGGTTTGGAAGGAGGAGGAATGGAAACCAGAAACACAGGGAGGAAGTGGGATCAGTGATGGGCCATCGAGGGCATTGCAGTGGGTGGTTGGAACAAAATGAGTCTGAGTTGTTGAATGTGAAACTGATGGTCTGCTTTGTAGACCTTCACCCAATTCACGATGAAAAACACAACCTTTTAGAACATGATTTTATAGCATAATCTGTGTACCTACTGGCATCTAGTTAATTCAGATTCCTGGCAAGATTATAGGACAGAGTCGGACTGCTACGCAGGGTTCCGGGCACTGCAAGTCGTTATGGGAACAGACAGCTTCATCTTTCTCTCAGAGAGGTGGGTGGATTCAAACTGCCAGATTAATCACCCTAGGTTTCACCTGCTCCACCACCAGGACTCCTAGTTTTTGTCCAGTATATAGAAAAAGACATTAAAATTGTAAAGAACAAGAAAAAAAGGATGGTACCCTGTAATTTCAAAAACACCTGTGGGAAATGGGTCCATAATTCATGTGAACTTTTTTCACTGTGCTCTGAAGAGTCTGTCTTAGAAATAGAAAGAGGGGAGACCAAGTGAGTTCTATAATGTAATAGCAGAAAGCTCCAAGAAGACCGGGGACATCTGTTTGGCCAAGATTGGGATGCTAATATTACATTCTACTGTTAACGTCCTGCCCAAAACCACGGCAGTTTCCCTGAAGCACTCGGATGGTCCCCACAGTAAAGGAAGCCATTTTGGAACTCCAGTCCACCTGCAAGCAGGAGTATCATCTTTCCCCCATTTGTGGATTGATTGATGGATTGATGCATTCACCTCTTATTGACCTTCACCAGAAGAAAACATTCACGGCGTACCACAGTTGAAACGTTTACTTCCTTGCTTGTATCAATCCCAACTCATTCAAGTTCATGCCAGCCTCCCTGGAAAGGGTGTGGCCTCCCTCCCCTCTCTCACTAACCCTAGGAAGAGTAACTGTGGACTCAGCAGTAGAAAGGCACTTCTGGGTGGGCTCAGACCTCCAGCATTTCAGTTCACTGGGCAAAACCTTTGACCCACCCAGGAATGTCTGTGATCGGTGTTTGGAACTCAATAACAACCACTGCACAAAGCACCACAAGGACCCACAACTGCTTCTAATTGTGTGGAAAAGGTCAAAACAATGGCATTGGAGGAAACGGCTCTTTCCCCCTGTAGCTTGAGAAAACGGATAAATATAGCAACAACAAAAAATGGGCTTATCCGTCCTGTGAATGGTCCCCATCGTGTTGATGCAAAGGGAATGTGATTTCCATGCATGTGCACCCCTTCCCCCAAGTGATGACTGTGTCCTTTCTCTTCAATGATCTGCCATCAGCCCCACTGCCTCAGCCCTTGCCTACATCCACTGTGCCTAGACAATTGCTTCCCGGACTCTAAACTCAACCCCCTGCCAGCACACGGATCATTCCCAAGACAAACCTGACTCCCAGAGCCCTGCAGGTCAAATGTTTACCTAACTGTAACTGCATACACTATATAACTAGCATTTAGCACTGAGCCCCAGTGGAGCAAAGATTAAGAACTTGCCTGGTCACCGAGAGGTTGATGGTTCAAACCCACTTCAGAGCTTTGTGGAAGAAGGACTTGCAGACCTGCGTCCTTAAATCTGAAGGCAAGAGACCCCTGAAGGGAGCAGTCCTATTCTGTCACATGGGTCAATAAGAGTTTGAATCAACTTGATGCTGCTCATGGAATCCCAGGGTGGCTCAAATGGCTAAGCGCTTAACTAATAGCCCAACGGTTGGCTGAAGGTTGGCTGTTCAAGCCCATCCAGAGCTGCCTTGGAAGACAGGCCTAACGATCTGCTTCTGAAAGAGCACAGCCTTGAAAGCCCAAGGAAGCAAGCAG